CACTGCTGATGTGGCACTGTTGCTGACGTGGCACTGTTGCTGACATGGCACTGTTGACGTGGCACTGCTGATGTGGCACTGCTGACGTGGCACTGTACCAACCCGGGAATGCATGCAAAGGGAGGGGTGGGTGGGAGGGAAAACGCAGGTAGGTAACCAACCTAGCTATAATCAAGAGACTAAAAAATAAAAAATAAAAGAAGAGGATCACCCCCCACTTTACTTTTTTTTTTTTTTTTTGTATATCTGTCGATCTGCTATGAGGTATGTTAGAAGAGTACTATGAGCGAGATCTAGGCCAGGTTCCGCAAAGTTTCGGCTTTCACAAAAATGCGATCTTGAAAAAAAAAATTTGCGAAATAGCGTGTAGAGATCTAGGCTACCAGAGTGGCCCGGGATCACTTGCCCGGCCGGGCCAAAATAAATTAAAAAAAAATAAAAAATAAAAAATATTTTTTAATTTTATTTTTTATTTTAAATTTGGTAGAGAATTTCGATGTGACGCTGAGGCAAAAGTTGTTCAGTTTATTTTTCTGCATAACATAGTTTTTTTTTTCGGATTTTTCGGATTTTTCGGATTTTTTTTTTTTTTGCTGGGACCTTCCCTGGTCCTTGCACGGGCTGGCCACCTGGGACCCGGGCGGCCCGGCTGGTAGCCTAGGTAGAGATGCGATTTTCAGAAAAGAACTAAATCCAGTTTCTGAGAATATGGCAACCTCCTAATATGCCTAAAACGAAATGCTGGTAGGCTTCGCAAGATTTCGGTTTTCAAAAAAATTGCGAGATAGAGTGGAGATTCGATTTTCAGAAAAGAATAAATCCGGTTTCCGAGAATATGACCACCTCTATCGTTATCCTAATATGCCTAGAAAACGAAATGTTAACATCAGAATTTTTCGGCTATGTATGCGAATATCAGAGAAACGAAATGCTACTATGAGGAATTTTCAGATAAAACGAAATGCAATTATCAGAAATTTTCAGATATTTGTTGCGTGAAAACGAAATACTAATATCAGAAATTTTCAGGTAAAACGAAATGCGAGTATCAGAAATTTCCAGATATTTGTTGCGAGAAAAAAAATTCAGAGATTTGACGAAGTCCTACTTGATTTACTAATGAGTAATCAATAGATCAAGCAAGCTGGCTACTTGATTGAGCGGGTCCTCTGATTGAGAGGTCCGCTCCGATACCAAACTGTTGCATACTGTAACGGTGCAGACCAGGACAAGAACCGACCTCTCTCACAAAGTACAAGATAGCGTAGCGGAAGACTTAGATACCAATGATCCAAACAATCAATATTGCAATGCAGCCCCGAACATACATCATCATCATCACTCCATGGTGTGAAGGGGCCCGCTCACACACGAAGAACTGAATCCCGATGTCGAGTCTGGATCCAATGTCGTCAAGTCTCAAGTCACAACTCTCTCTCTCTCTGTCGTAGTCCGCTGATACTGAGTAGTCAGGTAGTGAGAGGGTGAAGAAGAGATGGTGGACTTAGAAGAGGAAGAAGAAGAACTCTCTCTCTCTCTCTCTCAGTCCGGTACTAACCTGTGAAGTTGGCGCCTTGATGCAGGTACCTTGAAGATGAAGCTGGCGCTATGGCGCCACAGGTAAGTCTCCCTGGCCTCCGCCAGCGAACTCCCTCTCTCACCTCCTCTACCTCTACTAGCGCCCAGCGCTGAAGACTACTGCTAGCGCTAAGCTACTCCTGCAGCGCTCCTCCAGAGTGCTGCTGCCGAATCCTGAAGGCTACTCCTGCCTCGGCCTCTGACTCCCCGTGAAGTGCATGGGAACTCCCTATGTACTACCTCGCCCTGCCTCCTGACTGCCTGCAGCTGCAGGGCGGGGCAGTCCAGGAGGCTGCTCTTGCCAATGCCGAGGTGAGCCAGGGCCTGCCGCTGCAGCTCCNCCCGCCCTGCAGGCTGCAGGTAGTTCCTAGGTACTTCCCAGGCACTTCACGTGCAGTTCAGGAGGCAGGAGGTAGTCTTCAGGATTCGGCAGCAGCACTCTGGAGGAGCGCTGCAGGAGTAGTAGTAGCGCTAGCAGTAGTCTTCAGCGCTGGGCGCTAGTAGCGTTAGCAGTAGTCTTCAGCGCTGGGCGCTAGTAGGAGCTAGAGTAGTACTGGAGAGAGAGAGAGAGAGAGATTGGGCGGCGGCCAGGGAGACTTACCTGCAGCGCCATAGCTCCAGCTTCGTCTTCGAGGTACCTGCAGCACAGCGCCATCTACACAGGTTAGTACCTGGCACATGAGAGAGAGAGAGTTCTTCTTCTTCCTCTTCTCAGTCCACCATCTCCTTCCCACCCTCTCTCTACCTGACTTCACTGCATCAGCAGAATACGAGAGAGCGGGCTTGGTGACATTTGGATCCAGACTCGACATTGGGCTTCAGACATTTGACGAGGGATTATCTGGGACTTGTAACGAAGACTTGGTGTTGACGACATTCCCATCTCCCCCTTCTTCTTCGTCTGATCCCTCCTCTTCGTCTGTGTATGGTCTGGACCTGGCGCATTCTTCCTGTGTGTAGCGCCAGGCCCCTTCACACCTCGTGACGAGGATGCTGTATGTTTGGTCTGTATTGCGACATTGATTGGGCTAGTCATCGGTATTCTAGCATTCTGCTGCACTGTCTTGCACTACGTGAGAGAGGTCAGTCCCGGTCAGGTCAGGGCTTATATCTAAGTCTTCCACTGCGCTACAAAGCACCATTTTTGTATGTATCACTGTATCAGGATGTACACTGCTTGTTAAGATTCTACTAGCGCTGCATTGTCCATTCAGTCCTTTTTTATCACATTGCAGATCCTTGGTTATATATGTACATCGCCCAACTGGGCATGTAACATATGGCTGTGAACTCCTCGCTTTAGTTCTACTTTCCCAAGCACAGGGGCAGTCTAGGCCCAACAACCTCCACCCAAAGGGGGGGAGCATGTATGTGTTTCTCTAGGTACAGGAAGTCCAGGCCCAACAAGCTCCACCCGTGAGGAAACATGTATGTGTCTCTCTAGAGAAAGGAAGTCAATGCCCCAAAACCTCCACCGAAAGTGAGGGAATGTTTGTGTGTCTCGCTAGTGACTGAGTCAACTGGGAAACGGAAGAGTGGGGAGAATGGAGGTATGGTAAGCACCTACAGTGCCCTCTGTATCAAGTTTTGACTGACATGCATTTGCCTGTGTTATGCTGTAAACTATGCTTTGATGACACAACCAGCCCGGGTGCAGGGGATGCAGCATCTGCAGTTGCCAGCATGATGGAGATGGTGCGAGCTATGCTCATCAAACGTGGTCCTCGACATGCGGTCATCTTTCTATTCACCATGGGGAAGCATGCAGGCCTTACAGGATCCCATGCATTTATCACCGAGGTAGTGTATGTCATTAATTTGGACGAACCTTGATTGGTAGCCTTATGACAGCTTCTTTAGATCCATTTTGTTCAAACTGTACAAGGATGAAGACCATGGCCTAGAATGGCCAAATCTGAACCTTATCCAACTTGTACCACAGCATAACCTCGCAAGGTGGGCCCTCCTTCCCTACCTCAGAGTCCCTCCCTCCCTCTCTCCCTCCCTTCCTCCCTTCCTTCCTGTCTAGCTCACTTCCTCGCTCGATATTTGATAATGCTTCCTGCCTCTTTCCCTCCTCTCTCTCTCGATGCCCCTTCCTAATGTCTGTCTACCTCCCTGCCTCCTCTCTGCTTCTCTCTCGCTTCCTCCCTTCCTCCCTTCCTCCCTCCCTCCCTCCCTCCCTCCCTTCCTCCCTTCTCATTAGCTCATCTTCTTGCCCTTGCTTTGTCCCTCGGTTCCCTCACACCTATCTTCCTTCAGTGTGTTTGTCCCTACCTTCCCTCTGTCCCTCTCTCCCTCCCTCCCTGCCTCCCTCTCTCCCTCCCTCTTTCCCTCCCTCCTCTTTATCTCTTACTCATGCCTGTCTACCTCCCTGCCTCCTCCCTCCTTCCCTCCTTCCCTCCCTCCC